AGGAGTGTCTTAGGGATGTGTACTTTCTCCATAACTCTTCAATCTATGTGTGAAACAGATCAATCGAGAGTCTGGACTCTATGAAGAAGAATGTGGCATCAGTATTGGAGGAAGACTCATCAACAACCTGCACTATGCAGATGACACAACCTTGCTCAACAAAACTGAGGAGGACTTGAAGTGTTTGCTGCAGAAGGTCAGGGGCCATAATCTTCAATATGGATTGCAGTTTAGCATCAAGAAAACAAAATTTCTCACTACTGGGCCAGGCCACTTGGCAGCATCATGATAGAGGGAGAAAAGACTGAGATCGTTAGTAATTACAACTTGCTCAGGTCCACAATCAACTCTCTTGGAACCAGAAATCAGGAAATAAAAAGATGAGTTGCTTTGGTAAAGTCTGCTGCTAGGGCCACTCTGGAGAGCTATGGAGCAACGAAGTCAGTCTACAGACGAAGGTGCATCTGATCCAAACAATGGTCTTCTCAATTACTTGCTATTCATCTAAGAGCTGGACAACGGCTAAGGACAGTAGAAGAGTCGATGACTCTGAGTTTTAGTGCTGGAGAAGAGTATTGAACATACGACAGATTACCAAGAGAACAGGTTTGTCCTATAGAGAGTGAAACTAGGTTGCTCCTTGGAGGCAAGAATTGTAAAGCTCTATCTCACATACTTTGGGCATGTTACCAGGAGGAACCAGTCCTTGGAGAAGGACATAATGCTTGGAAGTGTGGAGGGTCAATGCAGGATAGAAGACCTTACATGAGATGGACTGACACAAGGACTGTGACAATGAGGGCTGGTGTGTCAGAGGCAGTGAGACTGGCTTAAGTTAGGACAGGGTTCAGACCGATTGTTCATAGGGTTACTATGAGTGTTGTGGGATTGATGGCACATAACAACCACCACCACAACAACAACAATTACCTAAATAGTAAATGACCTAGTGGTAAGAAGCTGTGCTGCAATTTTAAACACATGCAGTCTGAATCCACCACCTACTCTGCAGGAGAGGGATGGCAGCCTCCTCCCGTACAATTACTGCCTCTGAAACACCCCTGCAGGGCCAGTTGTGGGTCGGTTCTGGCTCAGTGGCAACAGCAACAACAACAATGCCCTACATTGTGATCACAAGTTAAATGAAGTAATGACTTGTGATAAATCTGTACACTGAAGTACTCTGTATTTTATTTTTTGGTGAAATGTGCTATTTTGTGGAATACAATTTAGTACAATAGTTGTATGGACACTTAATGAAGAGTTGGGACAACGGTTAAAATACTCCCCATACCCTATGATCCCTAAGGACTTTTATATACACTATCTGAGTTATCAGAAATCCTCTGGGAGCATGGCTCCATTTTTCCTAATGCATAGAGATATATCCAAGGGTGTGGGTGTACCCTGCAACTAATGTGTCACAGGCTTTAGACTGCACCTGTGTGTCTGCTACGTTGCATTATTTGATTACAACTCTGAAGTGGTAGAGCTAACTAGCTCTTCCTGCCATCGGACAAAAAACCTCAGGTCCTGCTGGAAAGCAAGAAAGAAAAGAAGCTACATGCACAATGTGTCTCATAAAAAACCCCCAAAGTTCCCAACTCACTGTCACTGAGTTAGAACTGATTCATCGTGACCCCTCCAGCAGATTTCTGGAGAACTGGAAATCACAGCAGAGAAGAATTCCCATCTTTCCCCTGCTGAGCAGCCCATGGGTTTGAACCACCAGAGAGGTGCTGCCTTTGGGTCAGTAGTGCAATGCCTTATGGACTATGCCACCAGAATGCTCTGAAGTTCTCATATCACTGTTATTTGTGCTATTTCAAAATCTGGGCAAAGGTCGCCATGTAGAAGCAGGCTTCAGTCACAACAAAGAGAGGAAGAAACAGCGATGCTTGTTACCTAACTGTGTGTGTGCAATGAGACCATCACTGTTGACAATGAGCCAGCACTTCCTGGAGCTGCAGGGGAAGTAGAAACGTGAATTGAGTCTGTCCCCAACATACTTCATCAGCCTACCAGCATTACTTCTTGTTCAAACCTAGTGTACCACTCCCTTTCAGAGATGAAGAAACTGAGACCAAGAGGTCAAGTCTTCTCAAAAATCACAGAGTAAGCTGATAGTAGTAGAACTAGAAGCCAGGGTTCTGAGCTTCTGACTTCACACTCTGGAAAATGCACAGCTGCCTGTCTAATCACGTATTGCAGAGGGTGACAGAGGTCAGATAGCACTCATCATTGAGAGAAGATGCTTCCTCAAGGCCAGGGACTTCAGTAAGTGTCTCACAATGGAATGACTTTATATAACCCTCAGAATTACAAACCTAGAAGGTAAGATTATAAAACAGAAACCCAAAAAGATGGCATGACTTCTCTCCAATGTCCCACTGCCACTGAACAACAGAGCTGGGATTGAGTCCAGGTCTCTGCAACTCAAGCTTAAGGTCTAGAGCCAATTGTCTCTCCCTGCTCACTTGACTTGGTGAAAATTGCAGTGTTAACTATGAACAGCTAGGATAACTGCTTACTGTTACAGTTCATTCCATTAGGGGCTTGACGGGGAGGAGGATTCACACAGAGTTGACACAAGTAACCTGTCCTTTCTTGCATTCTCAGTGCTAATTCCTGAGGGTTTCTCAGAAGGCCTTAATCAATCTTGATCTGTTTTGGAGTCAGAAATACTCAAGCATAAGACAACATACAAGTAAGAGTAAAGAAGTAAATGAAATTTTTAGATGAAGAATTTTTTTTCATTTTAAATGTATTTTAATGAAAGTTTATAGAGACTTTGGATTTCCATCCATTCATTGTTGCACTTTTTTCCCTGCCACCCCCAATTTGATTTTCTTTTTGAAAAGTAAAAGAAAAAATTATTTCATTGTTATTCAATCCCTCCCTGCAAGTCCACTCCACTATGCTACCTTCTTTCTGGACTCCTGTCATAGCAATAATATTTAATCACATATCCCTTTTAAACAGTTCTCTCCCTCATCTGTTTCAGTGCAGTCTATATTATTTATTGCCTCTTTCTCAGTCTCCCCCCAACCCCTATGTCAGTCCTCTTTTATAACAGTAGCATTATGTTGTATTTGTCTTTTTGTGACAGTGACATTTCACTCAGCATAATGTCCTCCAGAGTCACCCATTTTGTGTAATATTCCAAGAGTTCTTTGTTTTTCAGTGCTTCATAGTACCTAAAGAAACCATAACTGCCACCCAAACAGATACATGCACACCTATATTTATTTCGGCTTCATTCACAATAGCAAAGAGTTGGAAACAACCCAAATGTCCATCAACAAACAAATGGAGAGAGAAGCTATGCAGCATAGATGAAGCAATTACAGAGTTCCACAGGTAATACTTAAATGTTTAGAATCAATGTGTTTAGTCACAGATTTTGATAAGCACAAAACCACAGAAACAAACCCCACTCTCATCGAGTTGCTTCCAACTCATGGTGCCTTTCCACTGGATTTCCAAGGTTGTAAATCTTTATGGGAGAAGCCTGCCACCTTTCTCCCTGAGGGGCTGGTGTATTCAAACACCTGACCTTTTGGTTAGTGGTTAGACACATTATTATTGTTATGTGCTGTCGAGGTGCTTGCAACTCGCAGCGACCCTACGTACAACAGCCCTGAAATCTGCTCTATTCTGTGCCAACCATATTATCTCTGTCACACCTCCCCCCATTACCCCAGTCACTGAATTAATCCATCCCAGCAAGGAACTTCCTCTCTTGCACTATCCCTCCACCCTTCCAAGCATGATGTCCTTCTCCAAAGACTGGTCCCTTCTTGCAACACGCCCAAAGTACATCAGATGAAGCCTCAGAATCCTTGTCTCCAAGCAGCAGCATGGTTTCACTCTCTCTAGGGTGAACCTGTTCTCCTGGCAATCCATGGCATTTTCAACACTCTTCTTCAGCACCACAGCTCAAAGGTACTTATTCGCTTTCTATCATCCCTAGTCATTGTCAGCTCTCTGATGCATAGCAAGCAACTGTGAAGAGTATGGCTTGGATCAGGCGCACCAAACTGACGTCACTGCTCTCCAGTACTCTGGAGAGCTCTCTGACAGCCAACTTTGCAGATGCAATTCAGTTCTTGATTTCCTGGGTGCTGGTATAGAGTAGCTGAGAAGGTGCAGGCTAGCCCGTAAACTTGTACTAGTCAATGCTATTAAGATCGGGACTCTTTCAAATGCTAGGAAGTAAGACTTGATTATAGCTTCCTCAAAGTCACGTGAACATAAATTTAGGATGACATCTTGGTGTTATCTATAATCACTTGTTTAGGCTATTGGGCCTCTCCAGATCACAATCTCGCTTTTACTAAATGAAGAGGCAATATGAGGCCCTTTTACCTAAAAATTCGAAAGTATTATAGTTGCTAAGAATTTCCAAAACAAACTTTCTTTCCCTCTTTTTGTTCCAGCTCCCATAATCTCCATCCAACCACAAGCACATTTCTTCACAAATAGGACCTGATCTTGTAAGTCCCTCACATCTATTAAGCAAAAACATTAAAATGAATATTTTTTTAACTCTGAAGAAATGTATAATCTTAACATGAATCAGACTACAATTCTGAAAGGGCACTCACATGGAGTTAAGGCATGTAAGATTCGGGCTAAAAAGGTACATAACATATTCACATGACTTAATATCATTTAGGAACTACAATGGTAAATTTAATGATGAAATTCTAAATCATCATTAGTATAAATTTAAATTTAGAGCTTCTGGGAGACATCTAATTAGAGCCACAATCATAAGATGGTTCATATATGATAACCTAAGTTGTAAAAAAAAAAAGTAGAAAAAAATAACAAGTGCAGTTAGAGATAACAAAAATTATTCACAAAGCTAACCAGAGATAAAAAATAATTATAAAACACCTCCTCACTCTCTCAACATTTAATATTAAATAGTAATGAAGGAAGTGACTTATTAGTTAATTAATTAAATACAAAGAAATGTTGTTTCTGATGTTTACCTGGGAAGAGCAGTGATTTTCCCCCATTTCTCCACACAGAACCTTCTGGGCCCGTTACTCCCTCGAAGAGAAGCAAATCCTTCGTAGGGAATGCTGGACGTGCCTGTGACAAACTAGTGACCATTGGACAAGAAAAAAGAAGGGAAGCCAGTTAGTAGCACCAGGAGAGGGACCGCATGGTGTATTCACATGATTTGAAGAAGAGCAGAGCACTTCTCACTGATGCTAAAATGTGACCCATGCAACCTGACAGCCATGGAATAGGCACAATGCAAACATCCTGACAGTCAGAGAATACTAAGACAGCACATTGCAAAAGGACAAGGGAAGTGGAGGGCTTATCGAAGGGAAATCTCCTGTGCAAGTGACCAGCTCAGAACTTTAAGCCAAATGCATGACATGAATTGAGAGTATCCAATAATCTAAGTCTATGGAAGACGCACCAGTCCCTGATTAACTCAAGGTGAATGAAACAGACTTTCTGGTCTCATAAATTTGAGAACCTGAGCCCTGATCTATGATAGAAAAGGCCCAGTTTACTGTGAAGTGTGCCTGAGATCCAGTGGACGCCCCTGAGTCTGAGACTTCCTTAGCTGCAACCCTGCAGCAATTGGCCTGGGTACTTACCAACAACATGGAGAAATCAATGAGAGGCTTTGCTCTGAACTTCAGAGTTTTCTTAAAATTGTGGGAAGATCTAAAAACCTGGTTTTGCTTCTTGAGGAATTAAGATCATATCTTTCTGGAGTTGACGGTCTTGGCAGTACCCTGAAACCTCTTGCTGAAGGGGCTAAACTGTCCCAAAGACAGATAATGTCTCTCACAACTCTAATCAAAATGTGGTAACTCGGCTGGGATTATTCTCTACAGTGATGGGGCCGTATCTAAACAGACTGAAAATGGTGTTTATACATATCTAGCTAAATATGGTATGAACTTAATGAACATGTGTAGTGATGACTAAGGGAGCTCTAGTGGCTTAGTGGTAAAAGGTACACTGCCAACTCAAAGTTACACGGTTCGAATTCACAAGCTGCTCCCCAGGAGAAATATGGGCAATCTTCTCCCATGTGATTTACTGCCTCTGAAAACTTATTGGTGGGTGAGCTATGAGTGAGTTCTAACTTGACAGTACATAACAACAACAACAACAACAACAGTAATTATTAAACAAAAAAACTCCAAACAACAAACCAATTTTGATAACAATTATATAAAAGCATTTAATAAACTAATTAATGGCATCTTACCTGTAATAACCTTAGTCGCTGCTCATTGTTGAATCTTTCCACTGCAGCCCAGAACCATCGAATTACGATGTGATTGTCATGGTACCCTGGCAAATCAACCATGAAATCCCAGGTTACTTTAGCTCATCTAGATTTAGCCACATATGATAAAAGACCTCTACCCAGAAGTCATTATCTTGGCTATTTTTACAAAGTTGCCTATAAGACCAAAGAAGAATACTGCAAATAAGATAATATGATTAAAGAATGAAACACACACCCATACAAACCCCACTAAAGGAAACCAGGAAGGCTGTTTTCATTTCGTGGTCACTAATTTAAACTAGTGGAGAGTTTAAATTAGTTAAAAACAAATGAGTTTTTTGTTTTGGGTTTTGTTTTTTTTTTTTTTAACCACATCAGTTCTGAATTGATTGCTGTTGCAGGAAATGTTTACTTCCTTTTTTAAGTTGTTCATTTATAAGTTTTTAGTATCACTAGGGATAACCATTGCACTATGTTTAGAGATATAATTGTACAGTAAACAGATCCTAAGAGGATTTCTGGTAAAATAAAGGAGAGAGAAAGTTAATCAAGTAAATTATGTACATGCAAACTGTTTTAAAAGCTGTGCATACTGACCATATGTTTCAATCAAATTACTTTCCCTAAAAATGGAAGAAGGCTTTTGCCTCCTCCACCTAAGAACTCCGATATAACCATCAACTTGGATATAATTTGTATTCCAGACCTTAATGGGATTTAATTTCCATAGGCGGGATTAACATAATGTTTATGGATTCTAAATCCTTTCAGTGAACGGAAATACAACTTCAGAGAGAAAGCTCTCAAGGATTAGGCACAATTAGTGATTCAAATCAATTAATGGAAATATCCAACCTACACAAAAGCTACTCTGATTCTTTGTCAGCAGATACATTTCCAAAACAGAAGGTGAGAAGAAAGCAAAACTATTTTAATTTGAAATTTCCCAGAGTTTCAAATGGTTTTAGGATAGAAGAGGACTCCTGCCTTGCTGTTACCATTTGGTCAGTGATGTTTAGGTCCCTTTGGAGGAGAAAGACGTCCCTGTGAAGACTAACGCAACTGGATGGGACTTGGCAATGTACACGTCTATATCTTGCCTTTGCAAAGACTAGACACCTGGTCCTGAGCAGATATGTGAATCACCTATAAAACAAGTTCATTGACCCTCAAAGCTTTCAAGTTTTCTTTTTTTTTTAAATAAAATTTTAATTTTGATTTTAACAAACATTTACAGAAAAGTTAGATTTTCAGTCATTCATTGTTGCACATTTCACCTCCCCTTTATTTCCCCCTCCCCCAGTTCACCTTGTTTCCCCCCCATATTCATTCATTGTTGCACTCTTTCAAGTTTTCTTATCTTATGAGTCATCATCCCTTTTCGGCTTCTCTTTCGCTCCATGTAGCAAGCATTTTGGAGGAGGATCAGCAAATGTGTCTTACTGTTGTATCTACCAACAGCTGCTGTGTGAACATATGGCAAGCAGCTTCTTCATTCTGTGCCAGTCAGCTGGATTAGCAAACATGGCAGCTGAGCTCTTCTTTTTCTTGCCCCTAGCCACAGCACTCACCTCCCAAAAATTGGTACTTGATTAACCATGTACAGTGAATAAAAATTTATATAATGTAGAAACCAAAATGGCTGGTTTGATGAAATGCATTACTATTAGGAAAGAACGAATACTGTATATAGAACCACCTGAGTTTCATAGCCTAGCGGAAATTGTGTTCCAGCCATAGCAGTTTGGATCAAAAGGGGATTATACATGGGTCTATTGGAAAAGGCTTATTACAGCAATTGGACTTAAGATAGAAGCAAGGGAAGCCGCAATTCAATACAGGGCTTCAGAATAGTCCTTTCCAATTTCGTCATGGCCAATGAATGAAGTAAAAGCAGAATAGGACCGAATATGTAAACTGGAGGTGCACTGGAATGATAACTGGAATTGGGGGAAGAAACAACCCCACATTAAAGCCCTGGAATGGAAAAAGCACTGTCAACCTTTTCGTGAACCTCATTCAGAAGAAGGGCCGGTGAGCTCCCCCAGCCTTTGACTACATTGAATTCACCCGCTCACTTTTCGTGCATTGATCCTCTTAGCTTGGCCCCTCACTGCTTGTTGCTGGCTTGCTGCATGTTGGTTCAGTTATGTGCTCTTAAAAAATATATATTCCAGACAGTGTTATTTTCCAGTGTAACCTTAAACCAGCTTAGCTTGGGGTAAGACGTAGTAAATGGTGTTTCAATAAACGCTTGGTCCAATAACAATTGCCCTATTGCTGTGGGGACCCAGACTTGTGTCCTGAAACCAGCTGTCATCACTCCGGCTTCAGAAAATCTGAGCAGCTGGATAGTTAGTGCCCTTCTTGTAACACCACCCTCAAATTTTGTTTTCACATAAACAACCAATAAACGACTTGATGCTCCCCTAAAAAAACAGAAGAAGAAGAATGGGATATTGCCAGGGGCACTGGAGTGTGATACACATTCACCATAGCACAGCTGGCCACCATCTTTGAGCCGGGCACCACTATTTATGACTCTGCTAGTCAAGAGACAGGGTTTATGCAACACACATGCTGCCTCTGTTTTCTAAGAAAGTGATAAAGTTTCAACAGGGTATCAAACCATTCCCATTTTGGTTACCCCAAATTTGGTTCTCCCACAATTTACAAGTTTGGTTCTATTCTAGTTTCATTTCATCAGCCATGATGGAACTGAAAAGGAGAGATTCGAAGTCCAGATTTAATACTCTCTCAGAGAAAATGGGAAAGTCAGGACAACCTAAGCAGCAAAACAAAATTTTACCTCAGACTTTAATTTCTCTGTTTCAGCCTATAGCTAACTGGAGAACTATTTGGCTCTTATTTTGGTAAGCAACTGATTGAGTGATCTAAAATTTGCCTTTTCATCTCCAAGATCAGAATTATGGTTAGTCTTTTACATTTTAAATTAAAACCAAACTAAAACAAAAAATAGCTGGTATTTGCTATGAATTTCTGAAGACTTTTTAAACTATCATGGATTTCAGAAAAAGTATGGCTTCTGTGCTGAAAATGAAACAAACGAATTACAATTTTAAATATGGATTATCCTTCCAGTATATACTGATTTGGCAACTGAATTTCAATAGTTTTTGTTGCTCATTCAAACTGCTATCATTGAAACTCTTATCTATACATACGCCACTGGTGAAGCATCAGTTGACAAAGTTTTTAATTAATATTTTAACAGATGCATTTTCAGTTGAACTTAATGCTTGAATTTAAAAAGGCTTCGTCCATAACTAATTTGAGCTTTGTGAATCATGTCAGGTTTTTTTTTCCCTTCAGGTGTTTCAGTGATGACTACAAACGGTAAGTAGTTCAATGTCATGTACAAAACATGCGTTTACTCATTAGGAAGTTTAAGGGTGTGTCTCTTCAAGCTTTAGAATGAAGGTGGAATAGGTGGAGGTTGACCAGCTGGATATTAGCTCCAAGGTATTTCACAAACAACATCATAAAACAATTAATTAGTATTTCTATGGTCACATTTCCTCACAACATTTAGAGTTATGCCATCCTTCAATAGTGTGTAAACAGTCCTTCTTCCATCAGACACATTAGGTAACTAGGAAGAGAAGGGAGTTTTTCTTGCCCAACGTCTAGAGGAGACAGCACCAGACCTGTCATTAGAGCACACGTGCTTTTGGCCTGTCCTACATTCAGCCGAGGAGTGGTGGACGATTTGCCTCCCTTTAATTTGAATTTAAAATCCACCCGTCTGTAAGTCAAATCTCACCTCCTCTGTATTCTGTGTTGTTTCTCCAATCACTCAAGTCTATTTCAGCTGTGCCTGCAATGACCAGTTCCAGTTCTCTTGCATCAAAAACAGACACAAGTCTGGCATCCACCACCTGTGGAGAAAAGCAGAGAGCACAGCTTGAGCACCTGGAGAAATTGCAGCTATAATTAAGTCAATCAGAACAGGAGGGCTCAGGAAGTTCGGAGAAATACGACGTATGCATGCTATGTAGAAATACACGCTATGTAGAAATGCAGTTAAGTACTTAGAAAACCTGGAGGCTACATATACATAACAAATTAATGAACAAATAAAGAAACTGATGTATTTAGTTTTAATTTTCTTTTGTTGCTGAAAACATACACAACAAAACATATCCCAATTCAAGTATTTTTTTTAAATTTAGATTTCTTTTATTTATATACCCTTTTTAAAATTGAGATTTTAATGAAAGTTTAATAGAGACTTTGGATTTCCATTCATTCATTGTTGCACCAAGTATTTCTTTAAATATAGTTTTACTAGAAAGTTGACTTCAATAGAACTTTTGTCTTATCATTGACCATTAGTATTGATTATTTTATTCTTTTGAAGCTTCTAGTAGATTCTTAAGAGTCATACGGAATACAGGTAGCAATTCAATCCTTCCGTTGCTCTCATCTCACACGTCAAGAATGAGATTGGATTACCTGTTTATGAGCATGTGGAAGATGCTTAAGCAGGTTTTCCAAGTTTATAAATGACATGGGAGGAGGCTACTGTCCATCTTTCTCCCATGCAGTTGCTGGTGGATTCTGACCACCAAAGACATGATAGTCAAGAAACTCTATCGGTTGTTCAACCTTTAAGTGTTACAAGTTGGTCATTAAATCACCAAATTCCGTTTAAGGCAAGTTGTAAGTAATTTCTCCCCTCAATGTAATAGTGATTTAAATGTGTGTGTGTGTGTGTGTGTGTGTGTGTGTGTGTTTTCTTCATAAGGAAAACAAGCAAACAAACCAGTATTAGAGCTTTAAAATGGAAGTTGCTCCAGCAAATAGAGGAAAAATGGTAAAAAAGGAAATATAAAGCACAGTAAGATGTACCATAGCATCATTGCCACCTACTAAACTGAAAGCCACTACGACTGAGGGCCTTTACCTCATAGAAACCACGCACTAAGCTCTCTGTTTGTTGTACAACTCCTCTCTCAATTCTCCATTTCACCATCCTCTCGATGTATTCCTTCTTGTTTTTCTCTGTGACTGGGATATTGGCACCCCCTGGCTTCAATTCTCGTTCGGTAATCTGAGATTAAGAAACAAAAGGGTTGAGCCTAAAACAGTAATCCTGGTGTTATAAGAATATTGCTCCAATGAACTGAAATCAGGCAGCCGTCTGTCGCTGAAGTGCTTCAGGCATATCACATAAGCAGGCACCAGGCATGAAGTGTATTTTGTTAAGGGACACTTTGTGCCAATACACAGAAATAGAATCACTCAATAAAAAACAGGAGTGAGATTTTGTTAGAAAGCCCTGGTAATTGAAAAAGAAAAAAATGTATTATAAGAGCTAGATGTTGGGTTTTAAATCCTGACTCGAAAGTTAAGTCTTTCAAACAAAGATGATTAGGTTCCAGGATCTGGCCCACTGCTCTTTGAAAGTTTGACAAAACGTATTTTCACAAACTTCTTCAGTGTTGCATACATATTATGGAAGGTAAATATTTAAGATTTATTTTAAGGAAGCAGAAATATGCTCAACTGAATGTTAAACTCAGAACTTCTTGAAAACACTTGAAATTCAGAAGACAAGCCAAACAATAATATCTAAATATGAAACTTACTTAAAGCCTTGTATATCAGAAAGAAATCTAACATATTCTGGTACAAAGTATTTAAACCTTTGTCAAAATACTGTTTACTTTCCCTCAGCTACAATATCTAAACTAAAACAAACAACCCCCCAAAAAATCAACTGACTTTAGTTCACAAATCTGAATGGCAGCTAAGTATAAATGCCAATTTTAACATCTGACCCTGAGATAGTATGTTGTTTTCTGTACCGCAGAGTCGGAGCCGACCCATAGCTGACCCTTTGGCAGGTTTTCAGAGGCAGTTAATTGCACAGGAGGATATTGCCTATCCTTCTCCATTTTTCTGGGATAGTACAGACTTACAAAAATGGTATTATATACAAGGCACATTCTGTTATCTTTTGTGGATGCTTTAGTGGGAAATAAAGAATACTGGTTATAATACTCTAATGGTTATAAATTGGAATATCTTAATCCACAGTTGATATTAAGATAATCTTTGCAACTGATATTATTATCAACCGTACATTAACCTAGGTTTAAATCATCAGGTAGGTCATAAATACAAATAAATGTCTAATTATCAGCCATCGAATTAATGTTTTTACCAACTAATAATATTCAGTTAACACACTTGGCAACAGGTTTTGACATTCACAGACCTGCCCAAAAACTTCTTCGTTCACAGTGAACGTGAGGTCCAGGATGTCATGTATATCATTATCTTTCATCCACTGCAGGCTCTGGTGGAACTCTTCATCAAGATATTCCAGATCACTCAGGTCACACAGACTAAGATGACAGATAGAAACAAATATGCCTATTAGCAAAAATCCAGAATCATGAAGGAAGACACTAAGAATTAAAGACAAATTACAGAGAGAGTGGTATTACTCAGGTCACTAAAAAGTGCTTTTTTTATTAGACCTTAAGATCTTTTTAAAAAAAAAATTTATTGAAATTTTAAAGAAAGTTTTAAAAGTGGATTTCCATTCATTAACTGTTGCACATTTTCCTACCTACCCCTCCAGTTAACTTTTTTTTAAAAAAAGTTATTTCGCTGTTATACATTCACTTTACTATGCAGCTCTTATTATGCCAATAACACAAAATCATATATTCCTCTTATATAATTCTCTCCCTCATCTGTTTCAATGCCATGCACATTATTTATCCCCTCTTTTCTTAGTTTCCCCCAACCCCCATGTCAGCCCTGTTTTTTAACAGTAGTATTATGCAATATTTGTCTTTTTGTGATTGAGATATTTCACTCAGCATAATGTCCTCCATGGTCATCCAATCTGTTCTTGAGTTCTTTGTTTTTCAGTGCTGCATAATATTCCACTATGTAAATATACCACAGCTTCTCTATCTGTTTGTTTTTTGATGGGAAAAGTGAATCTTTTAAGCGAACATCTGTAATCAAGCTGGTGAACTTAAGAATTGTGGCATAAAATAAGGAAATTGTGGATATCTAAGCTGCTTGTGGGACCAATCAGTCTGTAACTTCTTTTACAAACACAGAGCTAGAGTTTAAGAACAGTAGCCATTTGTATGTTGTCATTGGTTATTGTTAGGTGCACTGTGTATGACTCACAATAACTCTATGAACAACGGATCTGAATCCTGTCTGAGCCTGTGCCATCCTCACCATCCCTAACATACTTGAGCCCACTGCTGCAGTCACCGTGTCAATCTATCCAGTTGAGGGTCTTTTTCCTGTTTACTGACCCTCCACCTTTCCAAGAATGATGTCCCTTTCCAAGGCATAACCTCTCCTAGCACCATGCCCAAAGTAGTCATCTGTACCATTACCCACAATTAGTCTCAGAGCGGGCAACAAGATGGGCTCACTATTTCCTTCAGCCATATTATACTACCTTAAACTAATGTTCTAATCTAAAATGAAAACTCCTCTGTATTTCTATAACTATATATTTTTGAAGCTTAGATTCTGTGATTTATGTGCACATCCTTCATCCTCACCTGTACGTTTCCTTACGCTTTCTGTGATTCTGTAAACAGCAGTTCTGAGAATCTCTTTACAAGTACAAAGAGCTTCTCCTGCCCTCCTCCTCCTCCCTTCTTTCTTTTCACTGCAGAGGGAAGTTTTACATAGGTGGGGTCACTAACCTATGGCCCTGCTGCCATGAGGGAGCAACTGACATGTTTTCGTTGTTTTGGAACTTCTCTCCTATGAGTCTAATATCAAGGGTCATTTGGTTTCTGATCAGTCTAAACATTTACTGGGCATCAAGTATGTGCCACACACCTTAGTAATTACGTGATGAATAGTACTTGGTTATTCATTTACCTCCTTCAAGGATAGCAGAGTCTAATGGAGAAGCTTGTTGTTGTTAAGTGCCACTGAGTTAAGTATGCCTCATAGTGACCTATGAACAACTGATCTGAACCCTGTCCTATCCTGTGTCATCCTTATCAACCCTGTCACACTTGACCTCACTGCTGTAGCCACTGCATAGATCCGTCTTGTTGAAGGTCTTCTTTTTTCTTGTTGATGCTCCACATTGCCAAGCGTGATAGGTACACAAAAAAGAGATATACTAATATAAGGTAATAACTGATGATGCAGGGAGGGTACGTAGGAATTCATGTGCTTTTTAAATGTGTGTAATAGAGCAGTCTCTTTCAGAACAAACATGAATGAAAGAACTGTGCTTCTACCTTAAGGTTCAGAAAATTTCAGCACAAGTGATGGATGCATTAAAATCTGCATTTCTACGGTGTTTGTAAGTTAGATGAAATGACTGGATGAAAGGAGAAGAAACGGAAAAGAGAGAAGGGAGAATGAGATAATAACACAATAACATAATAACATAAAGCACAAATGTGTGGAGTATATATAATGTCACAAGCATATTGGCAGTGGCTGAAGGTAAAGCACAAGATGGAATTTCCAGAGAATTTGAGAAAGTTGGAAAGTCAGCTGGGAACAATCCATGCATATCATTCTTAGGGGCTTGGTGATTGAATTAACAGACCACTACAGTAATCTTGCCAAGATAAGAAGATTTTGTTATTGATATTCTTATGTGCCACTCAGTTGACTATGGTTCATAGCAACCTAAGAACAACATACCCAAACTTTGCCCTCTTACATGGCATCTTCACAATATCTGATATGCTCAAACTCATTGTTACAGATGCTGAGTCAATCCACCTTGCTGGGAGCCTTCCTCTCTTTAGCTGATGCTCTATTTTTCAAAGCACTAGCCCTTCTTGAGAAAATGCCCAAAGTTTGTGAGATGAAGTTTCACCATTCTTGCCTCTAAGAAGAAGGCTGACTGCACTTTTTTCAAGACAGATTTGTTTGTCCTTCTGGCAGTCCAGGGGATATGCAGTACTCTTCACCAACACCACAGTTCAAAGCTTTCATTCCTCTTCACTCTTAGTCACCCTCCAACTCTCCGTTTCATATGAAGCAATGAAAGGTACCTTGTCTTGGTGCACTATCGCCTCTAAACTGACATCATTGTTCTTTAGTACTATGGGGAGGTTCTTGGCAGCAGATTTTTCTAATGTAACACATCGTTTGATCTCTTGACTGCTCTTGGTACCCTGGATGTTAATTCTGGATCCAAGTAAGATGGAAGTATTGACAATTTTAATCTTTATATTGCCAACTGGTATGGATTTGGTAAGGATTTCTGATTTCTTGATGTTGAGATATAATTAATGCTAAAGGTGGTAAAGGAAGCTCTGGTGGTCTAGTGGCAAGAAGCCGCTCTGCAATTCTGATGGCACAAGGTTCAAATCCACCAGCTGCTTTGTGGGAGAAGCACGGGCAATCTCCTCCTGTGCTATGATCTTCTTCTGAAAATCCACCAAAGGGTCAGCTATGATTTGGTTCCAACTAGATGGTAAACAACAACAACAACAACAACAGTCTGATCTTCAGTAAATTCCTAATGCCTTCCTCCCTTTCTGCAAGCAAAGTTGCCGTCTGCATAATGAATGCTGCTGCTGAGTCTTTCTCCAATCCGGATGCCACATTCTTATGCATCAGAGAGCTGAATAACTAAGGATGACAGAAGAAGAATTGATGCTTTGAGCTGTGGTGCTGGAGAAAAGTATAAACGTGGGCTGCCAAGAAAACAAACAAGTCTGTTCTGGAGAGGGTGAAACTAAGTTGCTGAAGCTCTGTCTCATATACTTGGGGCATATTGCCAGGAGGGATCAGTCTTTAGAGAAGTACACTATCCTTGGAAGGGTGGAGGAATGGCACAGGAGAATGAAGACCCTGGAAGAGATGGATTGACACAGTAACTGGGGCAATTGGGATAGATGTGCTGTAGACAGGAGACTGGCTCAGAACAGGGTAGGTTTCAGAGCTATTGAGCTGTATTGTGAGTCATAGGTGACTTGATGGCATGTTAATAACAATAACAACAATGACAACTAGCCTCTTGAATTATTTGTTTAACAATACGCACTGAAGAGGTATAGATAAGGATGTAACTCTGAAAAACGCTTTTCTTGATTTTAATCTTGTTTGGATAACTGCTTCTTGGTCTAGGTTTTTACATGAGCACAATCCAGTGTTCTGGAATTCCCATTCTTCTCAATGCCATGTAGAATTTGTTATGATGGACACACTCCAATGCCATTGCAGAGACCATAAAACAAAATAGTAAGCATTTTTCTGGTATTCTGTGCTTCCAGCAAAGATCAATTTGACATCAGCAAAGAATCCCTGTGTCACAACTTCTTTAGAATTCAGCTTGAATTTCTGGAACTTGCCTGCTGTACCAGCTGTTTTTTTTAAATTATCTTCAGAAAGATATTGTTTTAATGATATTGTTTGATCATTTCCAAACTCTGTTGGATCACCTTGTCTTTGGAATGGAAACAAATATGGATCAGGTGGTCAGGAAGCCATCTTCCAAATTTGTTGCCAGGGGCTAGTGAGCACGGCCAGGGCTGCATCTGTTTGTTAAAACACTTCGATTGGTGGGGTCTTATTTTTTCTAATGTCTTCATTGCACTTTGAACTTTTTCCATTGTTACCATTGGTGCTTGAGCAAGCATTAATGCTTACTGAAGTATTTAAGATTTTGTCCATAGAATCTGTTAGGGTTCCAAGGCTTGAATTTGTTCTTCAGTTCTTTCAGCCCGAGTCATGTTGAGCGTGCTCTTCCCTTTTGGTTTTCTAACTCCAATACTTTACACATTTTGTTATGATACTTTGCTTTGTCTTCCTGAGATGTCTGCTGAAATCTGTTCAGCTTTCTTCAGTATTTCTTCCTTTATTTTGGCTTCTTTATGTTCTTGGCCACATTTCAGAGTCTTCTCTGATATCCATTTTGTACTTTTATTTTATAATTGCCTTTGTAATGACCTTTTGTTTTATTCATGTATGACATCTTCACACAAACTGTAAGGATTTCAGTGGACTGAATCTATGAATGAGACGAGTTTTTTAAAAACATTTTAACCATCTATTTTTTTTAAGTAAACCAGTATAAAATAAAAATTGTATTTAAAAAACTCCAGCAAAACAAAATCTAGTGACCCATCTGTATGTAGAGGAAGGGAAAAAGAGATTAAAGGAATAGAGTAAACCACTACATCAAATCACTTCTGAGAATGAGATGGTTTTGAACTTCAATTAGGTTAGACTCAAGTTCATATTTTGGTTCTTTTGAACTTGTTTTCAGCTTCAATTTGAAGTCGCACATGAGAAACTGATAATCTGTTCCACAGTCAGGTCCTGGCTTTGCTTTCACTGATGATACCGAGATTCTCTATTGACTTTCCCCCAATCTAACTCC